AGTGTTGTGTGAGCCAAATGTTGCATTTTTAAAAAAAACATGATTTTATAATTGAAATAAACTTTGGAGTGTTATGTTCAATTTTGATCTATTATGGAATCTCAGTAATGTAAAAATATGCACACAAAGGGGCAAAAAGAAAGCCACAGAAGTCTGCTCTGGGTCTTGACACTAACGGTGTTTTCTGCATTAGCATCTTGTATGTGATCAGAGGGAAAGTGATTGGGTGGTTCCTTTATTAATATGTACGTGGAAGGAGTGCTTGGCGGGAGCTAGGGTTGTAGGTGGACACATGAGCGGCCCAGCAGGACAGACAGGGACCCACCTCCTCCTGATGCAGCGCAGGGTTGAGGTGTGGCAAGAACCAACAAATGCTGGGGGAAGCCTGAGTTGAGGAGATTTCTCCAGGTTTCTTCAATCCTATGAGTCTGCAACATGAATAAAGAAGCTAAATGAGGGTTCAGATTTAAAGCGGTTCACTAGAGCTTTCTAGGAAGACATGTTTAAATATCATCTCTCTGATGTGCATGAGTGAGCCAGCCTCAGGAGCCTCTAATTTCCTAAGCAAATCCCTCTCAATTAAGCAGAAAGGGAAAGAAAACTGAAAGCAGTACATGTATTCACCGTTTCAATCCCATTTTGCTCTTTTCCATGTTTTAGAAATCTCCCTCATGCAAAAGCCCATGTACTAATAGCGAAATGAGCAGAATATATGAATCACTTGTTTTGATAGCATTATGCTTAATCTAGCTAGAACACTTCACACGAGCATAGAGTTTGAGTTTTCTATCCAGTGTGAATTTTTAAAGCGAAGCTTTTCAGATCTGATTGCCTTGGGAAAGCAGATTTCATAATTTGCTCTCCAGCCTTGCTGGAAAATCCATCTGTCTTTGCAATTGAATTTGCAAAGTGAAATCATTTTGAAGGGCTGTTCTTTTGGCCAGCTCTTCTCTCCTCCTCCTTCCTCTGTCTTGTTTCCAGAGCGGCCTCTTGGTCTGGGCCGACCACGCCAACCTCTCATCCCCTCTGGGCAGCGGAGTGATGAAGCCCTGGGGGACGGGCTTTGTCCTCACCCCAGATTGCACAGCTGAACTCTACAGCAGTTAGAATTCAGAGGGCCACAGCAACCCAGGGGGAAAGAGCTCAGCTGGGAGGTGGTGGGCCTGAGTTCAGGTCCAGCCCTGTCGCCTGCTGACCGGGTGGCCTTGGTGAATGTCTCCAAAAGATGACCCACCCACCCTGCTTCCGTCCTAGAGCCAAATAAGATGATGGATGCTGGAGGATTTTGAAAACTGACAGGGTCATAAAATGGTAGATTTGATTCTGTTCAACAATTGAACAAAACATTTTTTGAAAACACTGAGTTTCGGTATCTGAGGTATAGCCGGTAGGCAGTTTGATTAACGAGACTAGCGCTTAGGAGAGAACTTGGAGCTGGAACTGCGCATTTGGGGGACACATAGCTGGTTCTTGGTGTCATGGTATTGAATGCAGTCACAAAGACTTTTGTTTATTATTTTGGTCATTATTAGTATTGCTACTATTATTTTTATTATTTAGGAAGGGTTCCCCTCTCCCATATTAATTATAATAACGGAATTGGGAGGAAGCCCATATATAGGTGTCTTTTAATATATCTTCTCAGCGGATTTCATTTCAGAGGTAAGAAAGTGACGAAGATGATCAGTCAATAAGTCAGATTTTAGAATTAAGGTTTTCAGTTTCTCAATCGTTTGCTTAAATCATTGGATCCTAGCCAAAAGACTTCCCAATTCATTAGCTTTTGATGATTTATTTTAACAACTTCAATTGGATGAGAGTACAGAAATGAAGTGTTTTTTCCCAGATCATTCATGAATGCCAGGTATAAAATCACCTTAGAGCATCCAGTGTTTCTCAGTGTGGCCTGTTGGCATTTGGGGGTCTGACGGTTCTTTGTTGTACACGATTTTCCCGCATGGTCCAGGCCGTTTGGTACCCCTGGGCCCCACCCACAACCTGCCATGTGGGCCCCCAGATGTTTTGACAACCCCAAACTCCCCACTACATTTGTAAATGTGCTTGGGGGTCCTCCTCTCCCCCATGCACATGCTGAGCCACTTAGGGAGATGGGCCCCATTCTCACATCACATGCAGAGCTTTATAATATAAAATTATGTGATTTTACTCTTCTTAGATCAGATGATCCAGTATCAAGTTCCCTTTGGTTCACTCACTCTGGAAATATGATGGCATCTAAGACTTGGAGTGAATTACACTCTATAGTAAAATAATGCCAGAGAGAGGTAGTGTATTTTGATTTTGTTATTTGCGACATCAAAGACTGTGGTAAATGAAGCTGTTTGGAATAATACCAATATCCTAGAAAATGGAGTATCCATCTTGGCACTCACTGTTTTATTTGATCTTCGTAACAGCCATCTGAGACAGATGAAAACTTGAGGCCAGGAGAAGTAGGAACTTTCCTAAGAGTACGAGACAGCAAAATAGCAGAGCCAGGAATAGGGAACTCCCAGTGCTGGTCGCAGTGCTGCCAACATAAAGCACCGTCTCCAAGTAACTAGTCCTTCTGGGTTATTAAAGCTGATAGAACAGGGTCCACAAAACAAACTGAAACCAAGCTGAGAAGTGGCAGGCTTAGGGGGTGGGTGGATCATCCAGGCAAAGTCAGCTGAGCATGTAACAGATGCAAAAGGGGTTTTTGATTGCTTGCTTACTTGTAACTTGTTTCATTCCATAACGTATTTTATTTAGCTTACAATACCAAATGATGACACAAGAGAAATAGAAAATCAAGATCAGGGAAACACAGATAAAAGTAGGAAACCAAAATCAGGGAGAAGAGCCCAAACATGGAGCCCATAAAGGCCATGATGGTTGTGACAGCAGAGTTTCGTTTTTGCGTCAGAGCTTCCTTGCAGGCAAAGCAAAAAGAGGAACACGTAATTCTCATTACCTTAAAGATGGGAGCATGGAATTCCTCAGGGGAAGGAAAGCTGAATTCTAAAAGAACTTTCTCAAGAGAGCTTTTACATCAGGGATTCTGGTAACAAAATTTATAGTACCATTAAAGTTTTAACAGCAAAGATTATAATAGATTTCAGTGTATTTTTTCTGATCACAAACTTGAATAAAAATAAATCAACCGACCCTGGGGCAGTAGGATTAAACCCAATTCACTAAAGCCTGTTGTGTGTGGGTCCAAGGTAATTTGGTTCAAGTTTATACATTTTAGTGGTCTTACTTGACCCGGGACTAGAATTTAGGACATCCAGAAGTTTAGATGACTCAAGAGCCCCTCAGGAAACTTCTGTCAGGAGGTGTTTCTCCTCTCACACAGACTTTGTCAGGACATTTTGAAATGATCAGTTATGACGAGGGCTTGGAGGGCTCATACTAGACGGCCTGTCCGTCAGGATGGGTGGGGTCTGGTACACTGACGACAGCCCACGGATCTTCATGGCTCAGTTTATATTCAGACCCGGCCTATCACAGGCTCATGGGGTCCTCAGGGGCAGCTCACTCACCCAGGCCGCCCATGGCTCCATCTTCCTGTAGTGGCACTGCCGGGGACACACGGCTTCCTCGGTCACTGGGGCAGGAGAAGAAAGAGCATGAGCTAGTGTATTCCAGCTCCTAAGTGCTTCTGTCTGGAAGTAACATCATTTCTACTCACATTTCACTGAGCAAAGCAAGTTGCTTGGCCCTGGCCTGACTTCCCCTGAGTAGGGAAATGCATATCTAGATGCGGAAGGGAACCAGAAAGTAGGGCACATTAGTAAAGTCAGCCACCGATGGCGGAAAGGGCAGTCCCAGCCAGGAGAATGGGATGAGAAAGTCAGGCGCACAGGGCAGGCTGGGCTGGGGTGGAAGGGTGAGAGGGGCCGCGCTGTGGCCAGCACAGCACAGGGAGCGTGGGGCCGGGAAGGGCCGCCTCGGGGCTGGGGCTGGAAAGCTTGCAAAGCTGCACTTTATTCTGCAAGCCAGAGGGACCCCGGGAAGGTGCTCCAGGGGGTGGGACTCGTCCAGTTTTTAGGGGCTCAGCTCAAGGGAGGAGCAGAAGCAGCTATCTCTGTGTTTCAGTGATTATACCCAACCCTTGAAAGAAAAGAAAAGTTTGTTTTCTATTGAAACTAACTCCCTGTACCGTTTTCTGCATTGTTAACTTAGGAGGGTGCCTCCCACCTCTTACTGTGATCCAGAATGAAAAGCAGGCACTCTTTGCCTTTTCCAAACAGTGACTAATGGCTGAGCTTGGCCAGGCAGGCCCAGCATATTTTTCACTCTGCTCTGGGCTTCCCACCAAGTTCTCCCGCAGTGGCCTGGCCACAGCCATCAGGGACGCCTGTGCCTAGCACTTCCTACCCCCTCATCCATCTCCACAGCAGCCCTCTCCGGCCACCTCCTTTTTAATAGGTTTAATTATGACTTCCCCTACTTCACGGCACAGTTCATCTTCCCCATCGCCTCGGGATTTACAGCCATACAGGTCCAGGGACTTTCTGAGCTATTCATCTGCAGTCTTAGTTTTTAACCATCCAAGGAAAGTAGGAAGGGGAGCCGTGTATTAAGGCAGTGACGTATCTGTGGCCTCCATGGGCTTCGGGGGGCTTCTTGTCACTGTCATTGAGCCCGGGCCTCCGGGACAGCGTGCAGAAGGAGACTGCAGAAGCACTGACTGTGCCTCAGTTAAGCCTGAGGGGAGCCTTGAGGGCCAGGGACAGAGCAATTAGGCCTTGTTCTCTTTCCACTGTGTGTTATTTCCTCCGAATTTGGTTATAAGATGAATAAGGTTTGGGGATCTAGTGTACAGCATGGCCGCTGTAGTTAATACTTATTATATGCTTGAAATCTGCTAAGAGAGTAGATCTTCAGTGTTCTCACCACAAAAAGGTGATGGACATGTTAATTAACTTGATCGTGGTAATCAGTTCACAATGTATATGCATAGCAAATCACCACCTTGTGTACTTTGAATGTATACAATTTTATTTGTCAATTATACTTCAGTAAAGCCAGGGGGAAAAAAGACAGCTAGTTTCCAGTGGAGTGGGTTTGTGGGAGGGAGAATGGCTGTGCAGGGTTTCCTGGACCTTATTACAGTGGGCTCCTCGGGCATGAAAGGCAGGGGAGGGGAGGGCAGGGGAGGGGGATGCGGGGAGGGGAAGGCCACCCGGGACAGAAGTGGCACTGAACTCTCCATGTCACTGAAGACATCCTCAATTGCTGCTGAAGCAAAACAAGATAACAGGCTCTTCTCTTAGCGTTTGGAGGAACAGGTAGAGCTGGTGGGATTGGTAGAAAAAAGAAGACAGATATAATTAAGATAAAATTATAGCAGAAGAGACATGCGACGGTCCAGGAGGTCCCCGGGGGTGACACCCACACAGATGATCACATCCACCCCCTCCTCCTCCATCCCTGAGTCTCTTAGGATTTCCTGATCTCTAATGTATATTTTCTGCACTACATACGAATTTAGCCAGACCATCAGTTTGTTCTTTGGTAGCTGCCACAGGGGGTTAGTTTGCCACAATAGTATTGTAAATGTTAATAAGGAAGAATTGGGTATAAAATCATGAGCACCTTTCACAAGAAGGCACGCCAGCATCATTTTAGAAGGCGGACAGATGAGGGAGCAGGGACTCCCGACCCGGGCCGCAGGGTCAGTCCCGCCCCCTGGAGCTGTGTGCGCTGGGTCAGCTCTCAGCCCTCCTGGGTCCCTGAGACCACAATACCGACCTGCAGGATTGCTTCTGAGTGGGAAGGAGGTCATCAGGGAGAGAGCCAGGCATAAACTCTCAGGCAGAGCCCACCTTCCAGGCAGATGCTTGTAGCTGAAATCCTATGACAAGTGATTTTGGAATTATCTTTCATTGAAAAAAATATCTGTACCTTTGCTGTACTCCACTGGCAAAAGTAATGGAGACTTCTCTCCAAGTACATGAATAGTAACCGGAAAATGAGTTAGGTAAAACATCCGCTTAGCTGCATTTCCAGCACACAGCATTTTGCTGTCCTGTCTTTTGTCCCTGCCATCTGTTTACTAACCAGGTCTGTCCCTTCCTCCCCACCCAAGCGTTGAGAGATTTTAGGACAGTACAGAAGAACTCTGTGTGGAAACTTGAGAGGGAGAGAAGCTGGGGAACCAAAAGATGCCCAGGGGATGGAACAGCGGGCCCCCCTGGAGAATTGGGAAGGTGCTGTTTCTAAGGAGCAGGTTTTCCCGCATGCTGTTACCATCCCCTGCACCCTGCTTGTTTGACAGGCAAAATACCATCCTGTTCTTTAAGATCATTTGAAATTAAAGGTACAACTAAACACCATGACTATAAGTAAATCATAGCAGGGGGACAAAGCACTATGTTGTTTTCCGTCTACGCATGCCCCCCTCGCAGCCCGGAGAAGGCTAGGAGGCTGGTGGCGCTGTGGAGGCTGGTGACCAGCTGATTTCTTTCTCTGCCAAGGTCCCAAAGACAGAAAAATGAACTTAAACATACACATCAGGACTTAGCTATGAGGAAGAGTTTCCTGACCCAAAGGGAGTCACAGAGGAATGTGCAGTGCAGGTCTCTCTGTGTGTACCTACTAGTCAGGGTAACATTCGACGACGGAAATTTTCACACACACACACACAGACAAGATAGTATAATGAAACCCTACTACTCATAACCCAATTATCAACATTTTGCTAATCTTGTTTCATCTATTTTTGTAAATACACACATACACACAGGCTTACTGTTTCCCCCCACTAGAGTATTTTTAAGGTAAGTCATAGATACCATATTGTTTCATCTGTAAATACCTCCGCATGTAATTCTAATAGAAGAGAACTTTTTAAAACATAGCTACTGTCCTATGTCCCACTTAGTGACATAGGAGTCGCTCCCTCAGCTCTGCCGCTAATTCACTTCCTCTCACTGGGACTGGGTCACATTGGGTCTCTTCCAGTTCCCTAAATCTGACATTTCCCCTGAGAATAGCTGGTGATTTGGCTAGGATGGGGCAGAACTCGACCTGTTTGAAAGCAGCAGGAAGGAATAGATGAGCTCTTAAAGCCCCATTTGGGTTGCGTACTACCAATAATCAGAACAATAATATTTTAAATAAATGGAAAAGCACTTCCGTTGTTTGTTGAGGTACACTAGGCCCTACTTTCAGATAATTTGCAAGAGAAAAGGCAGGTAGAACGCACTGCTAAAATGCGAAAGGTTCTAGTTTCGGTAGAAATTCTTCTGCTTGGCCTGTCCTGTTCACACCATACTTGGTCTTTGCTGGTAATGTTTCATAACAAAAGCGAAATGTATTGAGCACTTACCGTGTCCCAGGCACGTGTGCCAACGCCTCATCTTCATGATCTCCTCGGCCCTGACGGCGAAGGAGCTCTTTGAAGTAGGTGTTATTACTCCTCCCAGGGCAGTGACCACTCCTGACACTAAATGCATAGCCACACGTCCTTTCTCGACACGCCCTTGTGAGAACTCGGCTTCGTGAGGCTGTTCTGCCCCACTAATCTTCCCTTAATTCCCCTCCCTGCAGCCCGCTGCCCCCTAGTACACCCCTGCTGACAGGCCCTCTACAAGTCTTCCTCTGAGTGACGGCCCTGGAAAATCAAGCTGTGGCCTCGAAAGGGGAGGAGGATCTGCAGCTTGTCTCCCAGCATGGGCAGTCACTCTGCTGGCAGTTCTCAGGGCCGCTTTTATGTCGCCTCACCCAAGGGGAAGGCTGCCAAGAGTGTGTTCCGGGCAGAATTCTTCAGGCTGGCAGTGGCCGGGGCAGCAGAGACACAGGGCAGACGGAAGTCTTTGTTTTGAGAATCTGCCTCAGATTCTTCGGAGACCCCTGGAAGGGTCAGAAGAGGAGGAAGGGGGGCAGAAGAGGGGGCTGTGTGGGCCAGCTGGCTGGGGGTCAGATCATTTTGCCATGACCAGCAGGCAGTTTCTTTCACAGATCAGTGAACCCTGGGTAGCCATTATCATTCCAACTGCTCCCTATTAACCAGGCCAGACTCCTAAGTCCTGAGAGTAAGAGAACTGGAGTCCCTTTTCCCTCCCCTCCCCTCTGTAATAACTGCTCGTAGCATGTTTTGACAGCATGCGCCGGTGCACAAAGCTTATTGATTCACATTGTTGTGTTTCTCAAACCATTTCTTTGAAATGATTATAACCTGACTTTATTAATAAGAAAACCAAAACACAAAACATTTTTTATTAAAAAAATAAAAGGCTCAGAGACATAAAGTAACTGTCTCAAAGATACTCAGCTGACGGAGGTGGAGCCAGGCTTACAAAACAGGACTCCTGACCTTTGTGCCTTCCAGGTACTTAGCCGGTTTCCTGTAACATGGGGTGCAAGTGCGGTGGGGTAGCAAGGAGACCTGTGTCTTTGGCGGGGGGCGGGGTGGGACATGCAGAAAACCTGAGCTTCCGCTCTTGCCTTCTCTGAAGCCTCACTACTTGCTTCCTCTTATCATCTTAGAAACCAGTAGTAACCATATTGGCTTAAAAATCTTTGCACTGAAATTCAGAAGCCATGGGGACAAAATCGATGCAAAGGCATTGCTGTGGGAGAAAGTGCTCAGAGGGAGAGGCTGGCACTCCTGCCCCCACCCCGACCCCCACCCCCAGCTCTGGCTCTGTTCGTGACTATGGACTCATGGCTGGACAGATATTTTGACCCTCATTTTAGAAACTGAGAAGAGAGGGAGTAAATGATTTGGAAATTTGAAATCTAAAAGTTTTCTCTTTAAGTAAGAACAGTTTAGATAGAAAGCCAAATTCAGGTCTTCAGAACTGAAATGTTTCTGTCATTAATAAATTTTCTCCACTAAAAGGGTACAAGGTGATGCTAAGGTTTGCCTCTTGGGCACCTGAAAGTTTCTAACCTTGAGAAAGGCTCTTAAAAGCTCTGCTCCTTCCAGCTGTGCTACTGACGACCTCGCCAGCCCAGGGGAGGGACCAGACTCAACCCCCAGGAATATTGCTTCTCTTATTGGATCAGAGGTTCAGAAAAACTTCCAGGAATTTTTAAACCAAGCATTATGCATTCAACATAGGAAAAAACACTTAAAATACAGATAAGCAAAAAGAAAAATAACTAATTCCACAACCCAAGCATTATTACTCTCAAATTTAAATAAATTTTATGTTGTATATATAGATGTATGAATGTAAATGTGCATATATACATACATCCGAATGTTTTTATTAAAACATTCTGTTTTGTGACCATATAGCCCATTAATATATTGTAATTTTTCCCATGTCAATAGATAAACTTCTACTTAACCATTTTTAATGGCACCATATTATTCCATCATATAGAGTACCATGATTTACTTATTTTTAAATTATCAAATGCTTTACTCATACAAGAAAATACACAGAAGATTTACCATGATTCATTTAATCTCTACCACCTTGAGAATCCCCTTTCCTGGAAGCACATAGGAATATCCATAACTAATATTTGAATTTCACTTTACAGTTTATAATTACTTGCTCATACATTATTTCATTTGACCCTTACTACTACCCTTTAAGATTGGCATGAAGATGATTATTTTCCTCATTTTATAGATGAACTAATAGTACTCAGAGGGGTTAAATGATTCATCCAGTACCCCGTGTCCAGTTAGTGGCAAAGAGATGGCTGGGCCCAGACACAGGAGCGACTCTCGTGGTGCAGCAGACCTCCACCACAGGCAGGGCAGGAGGTCGGGCCCGGAAGAGCAGCCCGACATGCTCCTCTCTGCCCGCCTCACTTCAGCATTTATTGTGTGGACTGGCGTCACTTCACCACTGCCTCCCTTATGACCCAGTGTGCTTTCTGAGGTCAGACTCATGTCTTCATTTCTCTCTCTACCCCTACTGCTCACCACAAGGCTTAGTACACAATACATGTGCAGTTCATGTCGGCTGGCTCAGTATGTACATGAATGAATGCATGCACGCACGTATGCATGAATGAATGAATGAATGAATGAAAGGTGTCACAGAGGTGAGCACATTGTGGGGATTGGATTTTGACAGCTTTCCTTCTCCATGCTTCTCTCTTCACTTAACATTTTAACAAGAACCTATCTTAGTATTTCTGGACTTCTGGACTTCTGCAGACTTTGGTCACCGCTGCAAAGCTCACACGCTGAGTTGTAGAAATACCTATTCAAAACCAAGGGCAAGGAGAAACCTGTTGGCATTCAAGGTTCTGTCTGTCTTTTCGAGTGCCTCCTGTCTCAGCCCCAACTGGGATGAGCCAGGCTCTCCTTCAAGGCACCTCCCAAATTACTTTTGTGATGTCTCTCAGTTGGAAGTACTTTATATTTATGATACATCTCATTTTGAACTGCTTGTAAAAACAATACTTTAGCAGCTATAGCATAGTTTATAACAGTTGTTTGAAGTGCTATTTTGATTGTACAAACTGTATAGCAGAATTATAAGAAATTTTCAAACAAAAATCATTCAAATCTCATTACCTAACAAGGCAACTATTTTTATTTTTGCACAACACCCGCATGGTCTTGGTCATGCGCACCAAGTTGCTGTCACAGGGAGTGTGCAACATGTTTTCAGCTTTTTCCAGTTACTGTTATTGTAAGAATCTTTTTCCTCCATTTTTTCTGCAGAGACTTCATAATTATCTTTTTAATGACTGCTTAGTCCACTGTTGAGTTGATGTGCCAGAATGTAGTTGTACAGTCTGGTGTTTGCCATGTAAGATGTTCTCTGATTTTCCACTGACCTGTCTTCTACAGTGAAGATTGCTGTGCATACGGCTTTTGCACTTGATGAGTGCTTGCTTTAGAGTGCATTCCCAGGAGTAAGGCTGCGGGGCTGAGTAGGGCTGTTTGTGGTCCTCGCATGCTGGACCAGTTTGTGTCCTACAGTTGATATGTTTACCAATTTCAGGGCAACCTCGCTATAAAAGGTGCTGTTTCAGTTTTTTGTCTGCTAATTTAGTAGAAGTAAAATGATACTTCAGGGCTGCTTGATTTTGCATTTCTTTGATTATTAAAAGAAATTAGCATTTTCCCCTGTGGTTACTCTTTGCATTTCCTTGGGTGTGAGTTATTTGCTCACACCTAGTATTCTTCACCTAGTTCAGTCCACTGGGGTCTTGATTTTTTTTTTTTTTAAATCAAACCAATGAAATCTTTATGCACAATAGCTGTTGAATTTTTTAGTATGTTTCATATATCTTTCCAGTACTGTGTTTGCCTTTTAATTTTAGATACATATTTATAGTACAGAACATCTTATTTTTGTAATCAAATCTGTCAATGTTCTTTTCTGTTCCTTTGGAGCTTAGAAAGCCATCCTCCCTCCGGAGAGCTGATAAATATTTAATTCTACCTTCTGTTCTTTTTAATTCCTTCATTCGTCTGGTTTGTGTGTGAGTATAAATTGAGTTGCAAATTAGGAATTTTTTCTCCCCAAATTCCTAATCAGTTATTCCAACCTTTCTCTGTTCTTCTATTGTCTTTCTCAGGAATCATACACCAGATGAAAGGCGATTATGACACCGCCCTGAAGCTGCACAAGACCCACCTGTGCATTGCCCAGGAGCTGAGTGACTACGCCGCCCAGGGCCGCGCCTACGGGAACATGGGCAATGCCTACAATGCCCTGGGCATGTACGACCAGGCGGTCAAGTACCACCGGCAGGAGCTGCAAATCTCCATGGAGGTGAATGACCGGGCCTCACAGGCATCCACACATGGGAACCTTGCCGTGGCCTACCAGGCCCTGGGTGCCCACGACCGGGCTCTGCAGCACTATCAGAACCATCTGAACATTGCTCGGGAGCTACGTGACGTCCAGAGCGAGGCCCGGGCCCTCAGCAACCTGGGCAACTTCCACTGCTCTCGGGGGGAGTACGTCCAGGCCGCCCCTTACTATGAACAGTACCTCCGGCTCGCTCCCGACCTTCAGGACATGGAAGGGGAAGGGAAGGTCTGCCATAATCTCGGCTACGCCCATTACTGCCTTGGAAATTACCAGGAAGCAGTAAAGTACTACGAGCAGGATCTGGCACTAGCCAAAGACCTTCACGACAAACTGAGCCAAGCGAAGGCTTACTGCAACTTGGGCCTAGCATTCAAGGCTCTGCTTAATTTCAGCAAAGCTGAAGAGTGTCAGAAGTACCTACTGTCCCTAGCCCAGTCCCTGAATAATTCCCAGGCTAAATTTCGAGCCCTAGGGAACCTGGGTGATATATTCATCTGTAAAAAAGATATAAACGGTGCAATAAAATTCTATGAGCAGCAGCTGGGCTTAGCTCACCATGTAAAGGACAGAAGACTAGAAGCCAGTGCATATGCAGCCCTGGGCACTGCGTACAGAATGATCCAGAAATATGACAAGGCCTTGGGTTACCACACGCAGGAACTGGAGGTGTATCAGGAGCTGAGCGACTTGTCGGGAGAGTGCAGAGCTCACGGGCACCTGGCTGCTGTCTACATGGCCCTTGGGAAATACACGATGGCATTTAAGTGTTACGAAGAGCAGCTGGACCTCGGGCAGAAGCTGAAGGACCCGAGTCTAGAAGCCCAGGTCTACGGCAACATGGGTATCACGAAGATGAACATGAACGTGCTGGAAGAAGCCATCGGCTACTTCGAGCAGCAGCTGGCCATGCTGCAGCAGCTGAGCGGGAGCGAGTCTGTGCTCGACCGGGGCCGGGCCTACGGCAACCTGGGGGACTGCTACGAGGCCCTGGGTGACTACGAGGAAGCCATCAAGTACTACGAACAATATTTGTCTGTCGCGCAAAGTCTGAATCGCATGCAAGACCAAGCAAAGGCTTACCGGGGCCTCGGGAATGGACACAGGTAAAAGTGACAGAGGACAAATGTGGCTGACAAACTTGCTCAAGAGCAGTTGTGACAGTAATGGCAGCTTAATGTCTGCGTGGCAGTTTATTAGCCACAAAGTGTTTTCACACATATCTGGTTCCTCTAGTGAGTCTGTGAACTTAGCAGGGGTATTATAACCCTTGTGTTAAGGAGGAAGAAACTAAGGCCCGGAGAGGTTAGGTTAATATCTAGGATTGTCCAGCTTGCAAGGAGCAGCTGAGAGTCAAACCCCAGGGCTCTCTGAACCCAAACGCAGTGCCTCTTGCCTACATCATAATGAGCAGGATGAAGGAGACGGTAGGCATGGGAAGGATAAATGAATCAAGTTAGCTGATCTTTTCTGAATGCCTTCTGCATTATATGAATGTGTTTATTAATACAGTGTCCATAACCACTAATTACTTAGACCCGTTTTGTTGCTTTCAGGGAAAAACCACCTGACAGTGGTGGTTATGAGTAAACATACACTCTCATCATGCTAGGCACCTTGCATAGCTTTCTTGCTTAACATTTTTAGCAATCCTGTATTACTCTACATTTATTATCATCTGCTTCGGGGTGTGGAATTTATTATCATCCAGAAACTGAGGCTCAAGGAAAAAAATTCATGCGCCCCACACAACTGGTTTGGTCGGCTGCCAAAATCTACCCTCTTCCCACTCTTCTCATGTCATCTCTTAACAGCAGGAAAAGACACCCCATTGGCCTAGGTGATGCTTTCCTTCTGAATGTGGGGAACCCAAGAAGGTGTCTGTGGCTGCACAATATACGGCCTCTCCAGATAGGCAGGGGATTAGGGCTCCTGGAGTGGAGGAAGGGCAAGGGTCAAACTAAATCATCACCCACAGAGGGCTCCAAGAAGCTCAGGGTGAAAGATTTATAGCCACTGTAAAGTGATTTCAAAAACATAGTCTAAGTGGTCGAGGAAATTGGGAGTCCTGAAGAACCAAACAGTTCACTTGCTATCATTGTGCCTATTAATATGTTTTATGTTTCCTCTGGGGTGTATATCCCATTGAATCTCAAGCTCTTGGGAAGGTCACTAAAGGATGACTTTTGAATTGCTTTCCAGATTATGAAATTCCCCTGCATCTTACTCTAAGGGCACATGATAGATTTTTAGCTAGAAGAGGAGTTAAGAGCTTCTATAGTAAGTGACAGTGACAAATGCTTTTCATTTTCTCAGGGGCTTTAGCATGTCTGCACCTGCACAAAATAATATCATTGCTTTTCTGTCTACATCCCCACAGGGCAATGGGGAGCTTGCAGCAAGCCCTTGTGTGCTTTGAAAAGAGGCTTGTGGTCGCCCATGAGCTTGGGGAGGCCTTTAATAAAGCCCAAGCCTATGGAGAGCTAGGAAGTCTGCACAGCCAATTAGGGAATTACGAACAAGCCATTTCCTGCCTTGAACGCCAGCTGAACATTGCTAGAGAGATGAAAGACCGAGCTCTGGAAAGTGACGCGGCCTGTGGCCTGGGGGGTGTTTACCAGCAGATGGGGGAATATGATACAGCCCTGCAGTACCACCAGCTGGATCTGCAGATAGCAGAGGAGACCAACAACCCCACGTGCCAGGGCCGGGCCTATGGGAACCTGGGCCTGACGTACGAATCCCTGGGCACCTTCGAGAGAGCGGTGGTCTATCAAGAACAGCACCTGAGCATCGCTGCACAGATGAACGACTTGGTGGCCAAGACAGTGTCGTATAGCAGCCTTGGGAGGACCCATCATGCCTTGCAGAACTATTCCCAGGCAGTCATGTACCTGCAGGAAGGTAAGTGAAAGTCTCTCCCAGTCTCTTGGCCCGTCTGAGATTGAATTCAGAGCCTCCTCAGAAGGAAGTACGCACAGTGCGGGTGGCCCCTTCTGCTTGCAGGGAGGATTTCAGAGGTCACACCATCAGTTGACTTAAACCATGGTTCCCCCGACTCTGGCCCCTTGTCTTTAAAAGTACAAAGGTGTTCCGTTGTCCGGAAGTCAGTGCCCTGCTTGTCTTACTCTGCTAGCCAAGCTGCCCGAGGACCTAGAAACCTGCTTGCTTTTCAGAGCCCTGTACTGCTGAGCAGCTCATTCTCACACAAGATAAATAAGGTCTAATGTAAAATTTAAGGGCCTGAGTCAGAGGAAAACCCCGTCTGTTCCAGGACCTGTTGTCCCTTATAGAAAATATCTACTGTATGAACACTATGGAGAAGTCCATTCTGATGTGGCAGCTGAGGTCTGATCCAGAGGCATCAGTCTGAGGGCCACTCAGTCACCAGGATTTCTTCCCCCTGCCCATTACCCGCAGTGTGGGCTGCTATTGCAGTCGTCTTGTTCCAGGTGGCCCGGAAAAGGACGGCAACTCCCCACCCCAGGTCCCAGGCAGTGACCCAAGCACAGTCACCCTTGGATGCACCCTTTCCTTGCAAAAAGAGCAGAAGTCCCGCAGCAATGTGTGTACCCTCCACCTCTTCACCCTTCTGCTCCGGGAGACCCTTTCCCACATGGGTGCACTACTTCCTCCGATCCCGGGAGGGAAAAAGCAGATCGGATGTTCTCGGCTCATAAGTGAAAGGAAATGGTTGCTGATTTCAAGCAAAAACTCCCTGTACGGTTTCTAAAGGTTTTGCCTATATGGTTTATTTCATCAGATTTAATTCTTTTTTTTTTTTTGCAGTGAGAATTTTTTTTTTTTATCAAGGTATCATTGATATACACTCTTATGAAGGTTTTACAAGAAAAGCAATGTGGTTACTACATTCACCCCCACCATCGAGTCCCCCCCACAAACCCCATTGCAGTCACTGTCCTTCAGATTTAATTCTTACAGTGACCTTGAGAGGTGTTATCTTTTTATTCCCATTTGTAGCCAAGTGAGCTGAGGCTCAGAGAGCCCAGTGGCTTGGTCCTGACCAGGCAGTTGTCAGGGGGTGGGGTGGGGTTCAGCCCAGGTTTTCTGACCCCAGGAACCTTGAAAGGCCCCGTGTAGAGTTATGCCTAGTGTCCTGAGAATGGAGTGGGACTGGGGCAGTCACACCCCTAACGCTTCTGAGCCCAGCTGGGAGCCGGGAGGGAGGGAGGCCGGAAGCGAAGCAGAGAGCGGGCGGGGGACTGATGGGTGCTGTCTGCCTTTGCACAGACCACAGATGCTCTGGCCCCCAGGCTGAGATGATACAGAGAGGCTGGGAGCCACTTCCCAGACCTTGTTTGGCTCCCATTCCATGGGAGCTCTGCCCCAGTGCATCATGTATGAGAGTTGGCTTTTGGCTTTCTGAAACTTGACTGTGGTCAAATTCCAACAGATTGGGGCGATTTTCAGTTGAATTTGTGAAAACTGTTAAATCAGATGCAGCATATGACCACCTTTCATCTGTGTTCCTTTGTACCTCCTGAAGTACTGTTTCCATAAAGCAACTGCTTTGCCCGAGCCATTGTAACATAATTCCGTATTTAGGGAAAACTCTCGATTTTATTTTGATTGTTCCTTGTGATCTGAAGCTTTGCAGAGATCTGAGTTCTTACCGGGGCATCCCCATGGTGTCTGTCTGTGGCTGTGATCCTCCGGAGGGCCTGGTGGGCCTCGTGGACCAAACCAGATGCCTCCTCTTGTGAGCTCCTGTGGTGCAGGAGCCCTGGAAGGCTCTGAGTGCCCCGAGTCGGGTCGGCAGCCTTTTGCTATGAGGGAGCAGTGCGGGTGGACACCACCTCAGTGGCGTCTCTCTCTTGGCTTTCGGAGGGGGCTGCAGATCGGTATCACAGGCAGGGAGTGCGGTAGGATCTCACAGGTGGGGCCTGGTCCGAGTCTTTTGAACAAACTCTCCAGGTGATGTGTGTAGACGCTGTTTGGTTAAACCACAGGCCTCATCCAGCTTTTTCTCTTTTTGCAAGTTAAGTAAGGGAGCCTGGGGCAGCTTAGTGACTTACCTGGAGTCGCACAACTAGTTCTGGGCAAACAAGGGTCTGGGAGAGCCAGATGGGTGAGTCAGATTCCTAAGAGGCAGAAGCAGATAGAAACAGGGGCAGGACAGACACCGGGGCTGTCCAGTGGGCTTTGAGCTCTTCATTGTCCAACCTCTGGTTATGGGCCAGGGACTGTCCTCCACGCTGGGGATCCACAGGAACAAAGCAAAGTCCCTGCTCCGCAGCACGAACCTGGGCGGCCTACCGCCGTGGATTTTGCTTCCAACTAGTAAACAGACCTAGCAAGGAGAGAGCTGTGTTGAAGAATGAATATGGTTAGCTCAGTAAAGGTTAAAACAACCAGTATCCTGGTTTTCACCCAAAAACCATCTTCACCCAAAACCATGTGAGTAATCTGCAACTATTTTTGTTACCTAATGATATGATTTAAACTTAAAAAGCTGTTAAGTTTTCTGAGTTACGTGCATTTTGAAATACATAATATTTTATGAGTTTGAACCTGAGTATTGCTTTTATTGGCCTCTCAACTGACTCAGTTCCTTTTCAAAAGTCCAAAATTGCATGGGCCCAGCATGCTCAGAGGCAGGCTCCCATCTACCCCGAATGAGATTTAAAAAAGAAAGGCCTTCCTTTGTGCGCACCGTTGTAGCGTGGGAGCCTTCCTGCTGTCTTCTGCACAAACTAACTCCTGTGTGCAGAGAGCAAGATAATAAGGGCAAGTGATGCTGAGAACGGCTCAGTGCCCATTACAGTGAATGGCTGCCCTCAGATTTGATTCCCACAAAGCGCTGGAGGTGGCTGGTGTGCCGAAATCCAGAAGCTCACTGTAGGTAACTGACCCAAACGGCAGGTGCCTATCTGAGCGCCATTAGAACAAGGACAGTTTCATTTCAGGCTTTCAACTCATAATAGCACTTGTTCTGCAACCCCGCTGAGGCACATCAGAGTCTCAGTCTTCAAGGAAAAGCAGATTGGACGCGAAATGTGTCAGTGGCCTCAGTAACAGAAGGCAGCGTCAGGCAGTGTGAGCATTCTGCTTTCGGGAGGACATCAGATGTGTGGCTCGTCAACATGCACTGGGTGCTGTGCAGGCGAGAGAGGAGAGAGTACTAGATTGGCCTCTGTACTTTACCCTAGAACTGTCAGGAAAAGCTTTTGCCAGCCAAAGAATTGGGTTAGGTGAATGTACAGGCCAGGATTTTTCACTCGCAAACCTAGGGATTTTGCGTCTGAGAGGGTGGCCAAATTAGGTTTCATTCATTTCCGTGTTTCTGCCTGCCCTGCAAGCCTGTCTCTTGTTGACAGCCAATGCCTGAGCCCTGGCTGGGGCATCTTAGAGTGTCCCTACCAAAACAAAATTTGAAGAGAGTGTTTACTGTGTCTTTGCTGATTCTACTCTTGTCCTGCGTTTCGTCTACCTGGGTTATTAACATACTTTATGTACACCTGAGGCAGAATTACCCTCCAGGATTCCTTGGCAGGGTGGAACTGTCTGTCTTCAGTGTGTCCTTAAAATTTCTCTGATTTCAGGGTTAAGGTTAGCTGAGCAACTGGGGCGAAGAGAAGATGAAGCCAAAATTCGACACGGTCTTGGCCTTTCCCTTTGGGCAAGTGGGAACCTGGAGGAGGCCCAACACCAGGTGAGCGGGAGTGGGTTTGCTCCCAGAAGTAGGGGAGGTCTTGGGATACTGTCCTGGTAGTGATGGCATTTGCCAGAAGGTTCTGACCTCTGCACTTGGACTGACAGACAGGGTTTCCAGCCCAGAGGCGTTGAATCATAGTAAAGACTCTTGCTCACTTTTTTGATAAATTTTTCAATAATTTCTTGTGGAATTCTTGTATTATGTGATGCTGTTCCTCATTAAGCCTTAATATGAAATTACATACCTTTTATGACTTAAGGAAGTAATCTAAGAATTCATAATTATTGATTTAATGTCTTTGAGGGTTTCTAGTTATATTAATAGATATGCCTCTCTCTCTCTCACACACACACACATGCACGCATAGTTCATGTTTCTGCACATGTACAGAGAGTTGAAGAGAAGCCCGCTGTCATGCTGGCTCTGCAGCTTGGAAGGATCCTAGAGTTACGGGTCCCTCTGTCAGGTTGGAGGAGGTGTGAGATGGCATTACCTAAAATCACATACTCAACTGCATAGGCAATGTGAGTAATTACTGCAGAGGCCTTTGTGCTAGGCAGAGGCGGGCACAGGGTAAGTGAACCAAGGCCCCCAGCAGAGGTGCTCACAGGACTCGAGGATGCGATGTGACTGAATTTGTGCCATAACTTCCTGGAATGTTTGGTATTTCACTGTACTTCCTGAACTGTTAAAAGCAGTTTAAAGAATTCTCCAGTTCCTGGTTTTAAAAGTTAAAACTTGTATTAATTTAGTGATTTATACCTCTCAAAGTATTTCACGCACAGAATTTACTCTTCAAATAACCCTGTGAGGTGGAATGATAACTATCCCATTTACGGAGAAGGAACTGAGGCTCCAAATCTTGCTAAAAGTCACACAGCAGACTAGTGGCAGAGTTGGGAATACATTCGTCTCTCATGTCTATATCCGTTAAGGTTAAGAATTTGGTTTTTTAAATTTGCATTAACTTAAAATTTGGTGCTATATTCCCAGCATATAAATATCACAGAGAAGTCGTGTCTCACAGGTAGAGAAGCCCATTAGGGCAGCAGGGCAGTGCGTCCTCTGGAGCCATCAGTCCTGCAGAGATCCCTGGGAGTGGGCATGGCCCCTGGCGGGCCAGTCCAGCAGAGACCTGACCCTGGGCCGCCACTGGGGACGCAGTTTTTGATTTGGCTGAACTGTCTGTGAAAAGCTGCCCCACCTGAGAGCGTGGCTGCCTTCATTTCATTTTCTCCCAGTTCCCCTGATTTCCAGCCTGCCTGCACCTCCCCTGTGCTCACCCCATCCTGGGGCACCTTGAGTCACACAGGTGGTGAATTATGGCTGTTTGATGACAAGACGAGAAGCTTTTTGTTTGTTTCAATCAAAATCATCACTTGGTTGGGTTAATGGCTGATTTTCTTCTTACACATTGCAGACTCAAATTCTGTAGCCCTGTCTTCTAGATCCCCTTATCTGTCTAAAATTGATTACATAAATTACAATTTACTAGGTACGATCTGATGCCTTTTCAGGTCCACAAGGGCCTATCTGGAAATGAAAATTCATTCTTTCAAATGTTAAACATTTGTTTTTAGGTTGTGCCCCAAGTTTGTGAGCACAAGTTGTCTCCAGTCAGTGAACAGTTGGACAGTGGTTTCTGGGGATGAATAATATTCTTTGTCCCCTGCTTGCAGCTCTATAGGGCGTCAGCCTTGTTCGAGTCAATCCGACATGAGGCACAGCTGAGCACAGACTACAAGCTCTCCCTCTTCGACCTGCAGACGTCATCCTACCAGGCTTTGCAGCGGGTGCTTGTCAGCCTAGGTGAGAGCAGCTCAGGTCCCCACGGTGTGCGTGCGCTCGCGTGTCTAAGTCTCTTTGTGATTGCTGTGATAAAATACGATTTGTTGTTATGACAGACTGTGGAGCCACTGAGCGTTTGTTCATTTATTCAACAAATATTTGTAGAGCACCTACTATGTGCTGTGTGCCAGTCCTGTGGATTAAAGTCAAAGACCTGATTCCTGAGCTCAAGAAGCTCTCAGCCTGTTGAGAGACAGAAGCTAGCAAGTTCAGAAGGATGTGATTAGCACAATGGTAAAAGAAACTCAGGCGCTCTGGAGACAGAGTGGCTTGGCAGGCAGACCAAAGAGCCAGAGACAGTGTCCCAGAGATGGGGACACTTGAAGCAGGTGTCCCCACCCCCCTGCACCCCACCCATGTTCCCTTTCACCTTAATACCTGGGGGGAGTGCCTGAGAAGACACCTGGCCTCTTCCCTATTTCCTCTGCCACATATCTTTTAATGCTGCTGTCTAGTTGATGTCCCTGGGTCTGTCCTCTGGGCTATGGTATGGTCAGTGATGATTCTCCCAGGTCTGTGTGCTGCCTGGCCCGGGGGCCACATGCATCTTCCCTCCTCTGGGTCTTAACAGTCCTCTGCCTCTTGTCAGGCCTGTCCATCTCTGAAGACCATTTTCCCTAGCCCATGCCTCGGGCTGAGGAGGCATTTACAGGAACTCACAACATCTCTGAGGCTGGCTGCTGAGGCCTTGTCAATAACCCATCCTTTGCTACATCTATGTGAATGCTCAGACTTCCCCTTGAAAAATGTATCTATTGAATGTACTCATTGCCTGGGATTGCAATTTATCATCTATTATAATCACAATGTTAAGTCTGTCTAACACTTCAGAGCCGTTTTTCCAATCTGTGGAGAAATCATCCCTGCTATTCCAGTTAATAACTTAATAGAGTAAAAGGAGACATTTGCATATACACATAAAAATCCCCACTTTCTCCTAATACTTCACCTGCAGGGGCCAAGGCATCCTTGAAGTCCTCTTGGCGCTGCAGCCTCTGGGCTCCTGCCTCTGTCCACTCCCTCTTTGGACCCTAGTTCTAGCAACTCTCCTGTATTTGATTTCCAATGCATGCCGGTACTCTGCATTGTGCCCCTTCAGTAGGTCTAAACAATCCTCAGTTGAAAGTCTATGGCTTTACTTTTTTTTTTTTTGGTATCATTAATGTACAATGACATGAGCAACATTATGGTTACTAGACTCCCCCCATTATCAAGTCCCCCCCACATACCCCATTACAGTCACTGTCCATCAGCATAGTAAGATGCTATAGAATCACTGCTTATCTGTGGCTTTAAATGTTTATGTGTCCCACACTTGTGCTTTAGCTTTGAACTAAATTACAGACTCGATTCTTAGAGGGAGTGGGATTAGAAATTGGATTGAAAGACCGAGGAAAGGCTTGAGAGAGAACACTTTCAAGGAATTAGAGACCTCAAAGGTTTAAACCCTTGGCCCACGGGACTAGAAGAAAAGTAAGCACATGGGAGCGCAGAATGAAATGAGGCATCGGCTCTAACAACAATATCACCTGTTACACATGTGGTGCTCTGAAGAGTGCTTACCGGACACGGTGCCTCGGTGAGGCTGCACAGTAGCCCTTCGAGAGGAGCAGGGCGACTATTAGGCTCCCTTTTTTTGAGACGAGGTCAATGAAAGGGAAAAGATTCAGCAGAAGGAGTGGCATGTGTAAAGGCACAGAAGTATGATTTGGGGGAACTGTGGTGGGGGTGGGGAGGCTGGACGATGTGATGCGTAGAGAGGCTGCACCAAGAAGAGATGGAAAGATGGGCTGGGGCCGTGTCCTGTAGGGTGCATTCGCCAGCACCAAGTCCGGATCAGAGTTGGCCAGGGGAGTGAGAGAGTAACCCAGGAGCAAAGTCAGGTCTCAGGAGCCGAGTGAGTGGGGTCAGAAGCCAGGAGGCCAGGGATCCACTCTGGGTGTGGAGCAGAGGCGGGCGGGGCTGAGCATGCAGCCTCCGAACAGACGAGTCTCCCTTGCGGTGTGGCTGCAAGACAGGGGAAGGCCTGATGGCTTGGGGTGGCATAGACTCTGAGACTGGGGGGTTTTATAAGAGTGGACACTGCAGCCGTCAGAGGCAGGGGGTTGGACTTGAAAGAGTGTGACAGACTTGGCCACACACTGGAGCACAGGGGCAGGGGGGTTCCTGCCCAGGATCTCTGTACGTGATGTCTCTCTGGAGGGAGCACCCATCCCACGGACTCCTCAGCCTGTTCCTTTGTCTCCCAGGCCATCACGATGAAGCCCTGGCCGTGGCAGAAAGAGGACGGACGAGGGCATTTGCCGATCTCCTGGTAGAGCGGCAGACAGGACAACAGGACTCCGACCCCTACTCCCCAGTCACTATTGATCAGATCTTGGAGATGGTGAACGGCCAGAGGGGACTAGTGCTTTACTATTCCCTGGCTGCTGGCTACCTGTATAGCTGGCTGCTTGCCCCTGGGGCAGGTAAGATCTCTTTCCATGGAAAGGAGGCAATTAAGACACCAGACTGTGAAAGTCTAATGAATAGAAGTGGAAGAGGCGCGTTACTGTGGGTCAGACTTAAGGAGTTGATGTCTGCTTTCAGCAAAACCTCAGCCACAGTAGACAGTCCATGGTGGGGAATTCAGTTAACAAGACAGCCCAGCTTTCTCATTCCCCCAAGAAATCGCTGCTGCTTGCTAGTGAATGTGTAAAGCATTCATCAAGGAAGACTAAAAGCAGGAGGATTAATTTCACTAGCAGCCCTGTTTTTAGGCAGCTGTTCATTAGCTAATAAAGCGATGACCGTAAGTCCTAACAAGTTCTTTCTAGATATGATTTAATTGTAACCCTTTGTCATGGTAAAGTTAAAGACAAAAATGGTAGCAACAACTCTTATCACAATATATAAGTGAAGTCTTATGCTTGAAATTCTGAGTTACCAGAACCCATTTTAACCAGTTCTGTGGTAAACCTATTTCAAAGTAAAAATCCCCTTTGATTAAATCGGCATTAAATGCTCAGGCTGTAACAGTTTCACTAAATACAGAACCACTAATTAGCTGGTGTGGCCATATTTTTTGCATAATAAAATGCTGATGGCTTTACTGTGCTGGAGACACACCAGATCCAATTAGAGTTTATTGACTGGGGAAGTGGATCTTATAATTGGGAATCTTGAAGAATGGGCTTCTTGAGTATCTGTAAGCCAGTTTCAAAAATTCAACTGCCAGGGAGAATTGACAAGGCTTTCTTGATTATGTTTCTATCCCTTTGATTAAAAAAAAATGATGGTTGGATGACAGCTCTTAGATGCTTCTCGGGTTCTGAGCACTCGTGCCTGTACGTTCTATGCCTTCACATTATTTTTTATAACCTTTTCCCCTTAATTCTATGATTTTATGGGCCTTCCATAAAGAACATTCTCACCGCTGACCTTTTTATGCTAAACGTTTTCAGTTGTGATATTCAGAGGGGCTCGGTGAGTGAGCCGCAGGGGGATGAATCCCAGCCCACCCGCCCCAGGGGCACTAACACCCAGGAGGGCACAGCTGATGACGGAGTGTGGAGCTCTCTCTCTCTCTCTCTCTCTCTCTCTGTGGTTGTTACTTTTGGGGGACATGATTTGACAGGTGGTATATCCAAATCCCTGTAATAATGAGCCATGTATAATGAGGCTCCTATTGTTTCTCTTTCCGTTCCTCTTTGCTCTTAATGAGATTCGGAAGCGGGGCTCTGATTCAGCCAGGGAGGACCGGCATTTTCCAGGGCTGACACACCTCATTACCATTTGAGAATATGTCCTATGTTTATTGCCAGAAAACCACTTTGGACTGCCTCCGTTTCGTGTAGCCATCATTTTTTGCTCCTTTAATCCATTACTGATGGTTGACCAGTTAGTCTTATTTAAAAATGGGTTTAAAATGTTTTCATCTGGGCTTTGTACTACATATTTTGATTTGCTTTTGTGAAATGGAAGGTCCTTGAGTAACAATTTTCCACACGACTAGTTCAATTTTTAGTTCAGGATTTCCCTTTCTGGGGAGATTGTACCTTGGTGTGCTCACACAGTGTTCTCCAAAGCACACTTTTCCCTAGTTGGTGCTTCCGAGAAGCATCTATTTTGAAATACCTGTGAAGTAGTCATCATTCCAGGAGCTTCTGAATATATATATATCATCAAAAGCAAAAGCCCTGTCTTGAATTCTTGATTTCAAGCAACCACCCGGTTGGTAAAAGGTGTAAAAAGGGTACTGACCGAAGTCCTGAAAGCTCTCTGGAAACCTCATCTCAGGATTTCTTCCCACGGTTGGAGGCGGGGGGTGCTTGTCAGGAGGTCACGTAGTGTGGGCATCGCTGCCACCGGTCCCAGTCGTGTGTAACGTTGCCGGTGCCTGTCTTGTTGCAGGAATTCTCAAGTTTCACGAGCACTACTTGGGCGACAGCTCAGTGGAAAACTCCAGCGACTTCCAGGCGGGCAGCGGCGGCGCTCTTCCGACAGCCATCAGCTCGGCCCTTGAGCAGCACATTGCCGGTGTGCGGGAGGCCCTGGGCGTGGAGTCCTACTACTCCAGGCAAGTAGTCCGTCCAGGGTTCTCAATCCGGTGTTCAGATGCAATCTCAGGTTTTCATTTGTTTCTTTCATAAACATCCTATCTGAGCTAATGGAAGGAATCTCCTGGGATTCACACTGTTGTGCGTAGTCCTTCCACTGCTGCTGCAGCAGAAAACAAATACGTGTTTCTGGAGCGCAAACCTCTTAGCAGGCTGGCTGTTCTTTTCGGTAGTTTCCTTTCAGACAGGGAAGGGCCTTATCAGAGATGCCCTTTTTTTTGAGAGGGCATCTCTCATATTTATTGATCAAATGGTTGTTAACAACAATAAAATTCAGTATAGGGGGGTCAACGCTCAATGTACAATCATTAATCCATCTCAAGCCTAATTCTCGTCAGTCTCCAATCTTCTGAAGCATAACGAACAAGTTCTTACATGGTGAACGAATTCTTACATAGTGAATGAGATGCCCATTTTATAAGGAGGGTTTGTAGAATGTTTAAATGGAAGCATGACTTTGAATTTAACATACGAGCTAATTAAAACGGGGATGATTTTTTTGGTATAAACAGATTCATAATGAGTTTGTATTATAGGTGAATGTGTGTTTAAGAGAGTAATTGAGCACCCATGAAAAGATGGATATGTTGGGGCGCTGAGGTGAAGGAAGTGGAGCTCCAATAAAGAAAACTACCATGCAAAGATGGTGGAAGTTGTATGCTTATGGGAACGTTTTATCATGGTTGACTCTTTTACATATGGAAAATAATTTCCACTCAGGTCCTGCTTCTGGGGAAAATTGGAAGAGGGGGGTGCCTTATTGCTGGGTCAGAGCCCCATTTCCCTGGTGTCTCTGTCCTCCATCCGGTGACTGATGAGGGTCCGTGTGGCAGAGCATCTGCTGTGTTAGCTGGAGTCAGGTCCTGAGGACGTCTGCTTGCTTCTTGAATGATTTTACTTGTCATGATGAGCCTAAAGGTGTCATTGTGATTCCTCCAGAGATGCTTGTCCCAGACGCCATGTGTGTGCTGGTCACTGCCAGTAGCTAGACTCATGTTTGGGGGGCTTATGATGTCAGAGACCAGGTCTTAGGTGACACTATGTCAAGCCTGGAAGGGACTGTGGTGGTCATCTAGCCCAACCCCCTTGTTTAACAGAAGCCAGCACAGAACAGGACGTGCTGACTGCCAAGTTACTGTCAGAGCCATGATCAAAACCATCTAGATCTCACCCAGACTCCCAGGCCAGTGCTTGTTCTGTTTCTAATTATCAAAATTAATATCATATTTTGAGAAAAAAGCCAAAGCATGTATGACTGTCGTCTCTAGCTTCTGTTTATATGTGATATGAACAGGCTTCAGCCACATGCACACATTGTTCTCTTATTTCTTCTATGACTGCTGCCCGTCCTGGATGGCCCAGATCATCCTTGTCTTTGATCCTGGGGAGTGGTGTGTTGATTATAGGGCCTGACAGTGTGGTAACCCCAAGAACTTGGAAGTAAGGCTACTTCCTGAGCTTTAATTATGAATGACCATTAAGTAGGTAAGGCCTGGAATATACAAGTCATCTTCAGCAGACAGAGAGGCACTTAGGCCAGGCTGATTAAACTGTTAACCTGAACAAGGGTATTGTATACCCAGAGTGAGTGTTAAAGGGGAATGGTTGGCCCACAGTAGAAACACCCACAAAGAGGGAGTAAGCAGGGCAGACTTTGGCAATGCCCCTGTCTAACACTGTCAGAGGGGGGTGAGAACCTTAGCTAAGAGGCTGGAAGGCCTCAGCCTCTTATCCTTCCCACCTCCCCTCCCTTCTACAAACACTTGAGTGCCTACTATGTGTCCTAGAGATGGAGAGAAATCGAGATGAAGGCCACCCCGGCGTATGCACAAAGGCCTTCAGCGGTCCTCGGTGGGAAAGACTTCCCGGCTTCTCTGCCTCCCCTTAGTCAGGTCCCATGCTTCTTGTCAAACTTTCTGATTATCATTTGGTTTCTAATGTAAATCTTCTTACAGATAGAGAATATATGTAATAAACTGGCATTCGAATTTGTATAGTCTGTGAGCTTGCTTAGTGAAAGTGGGCTCCCAACAGGCAAAGCCTCATTGAGCACATTAACAACATCAGGTTTTCAAATTTGTAAGGCCACAGTCTAGAGACTGACCTGAAATGAGATCGCAAAGGGACCTGGGTGTGCAGCACCTACCGTTTGAAACGTCCACACACGCAGAGGGGGTTTCTGTGTGCCGTCGGCCTTGCAACCACGTGGTGGGCGTGCCCGTCACCTCAGTCCAGACCAACCACCGACAGGACTCAGCCTGCATGAAAATAGATTTCACTTGATCCCAAGTTTCATGTATCTAGATTAAAATTTATTATAAGAAAAGGTTGTCCTTCAGTTCTTCCCAGTGTCCGTCCTATTGGGCCCCGTGGTTCAGCTGCAAACACTTGTGCCTAAGCAGTTCCTTTATGATACGGGGGTTGAGTAATTTTGCTTCCAGGTGCTTTTTGAATGAAAAAAAAATGGCTTTTGGGTTATAGCTTAGCTCTTCATCCCTGGGAGGGAGAAAGGGGGAACTGGAGACTCTGTCCCCCTCTGCCATAAAGCTAACAAGTTAGGATGAGTCCTTAGGGATCTCTAGGGGGTTGGGGGGCTTGATGAGCAACCTGACTTCACTCGGCTGCCTTCAGCAGCTGTGATCCCCAGTTCGGATTGCCAGAAATAAGATCTTTCTTCTTGCTTTGGACTGGTTTTATTAGAAATTTGTTTGTATCTTCTGTGCTTAAACTCAGGTCTTCATTATGATATTAAAACTGAACACTTCAGTGATGTGGTTTAAATTTACTAGAATGGAGTTTTTGTGACATTCTGGTTTTCTGTGTTACATTTCATGAAACCAGTAAGCAAATTCCAATGACAGATAAGTTATTTTTTATATATAAAATCAGTAAATATTTTTAAAGCCATAATGCTCAATAATAGTAAGGATGCAGTGAATGAACAGTCTCATACCCTAGTGATATAAATTGGTTTAGCCTTTCTGAAGTAATTTGCCAATAGTATCAAAAGTCTGGAAGATGTTCATGCCCTTTGACCCAAAAATTGTCATTTTAGAAATGGAATAAAGATGTATGTATAGGAATATTTATAACAAGCCTATATAGTATATAAAAAAATTAACCTAAATGCTCACAATAATTGAATGTCAGATTATTTTATATCTATCCAATGCAATATTATGTCATAATTAAAATTATATTTACAGAGATTTTTTAATCATATAACCAAATGCTTGTGACAAAAGATAAGGTGAAAAAATAGGATATCCAATTATTGTGTATAGTATAACTTAAATTTTGTAATATATAAAAAGTATAATAAGTATGAAAAATAAAAAAATCCATGGGAGAAACAGGCCATATTGTTAGTGGTAATTATGGGTGGATAGTGGTGTTATAGATGCTTGTATTTTATTCTTTGTACTTTTAGTTTTTTTCACAATGGACATGTATTACTTTAAAGTCAGGAATAAATAGCCATGAATAAACAACTGTGTCATTCATAGACCAGAAAAAAGAAATCTTTCTGTAATTTTAGTTTACAGAATAAAATCCAAGTTTTGGAGCCTGGCACCATGGTCTAGATCTAGGAGGGCTTTCTAGGTTTGTTTTCCTCTTCTTGTTCAGTGAACTCCATGCTGCAGCCACCACCCTTCCCCTCTGTTCCCTAAGTGTGCCCTGTGGCTCCCCACCTCCACGTCAGCCCGGTCATCTCTAACTCTGGGTCTGCAGGTACAGCTGCCTGCTGAACATTGCTGTCTGGGTATCTTCCAGGCATCTCTAGACTGAAACATCGAAAACCTAACTCTTGAGTCTCCCCCTTTCTCTCCTAAGTCAGTGTAATGCACCATATTAACAGAATGAAGGACAAAAACTACAGACTCATCTCAATAGATGCAGAGAAAGTCATTGACAAAATTTAATACACCTTCATGATAAAACACTCAACAAACTACCTCAACATAATGAGAAGCCGTATCATATTCAATGGTGAAAACTGAGAGCCTTCTTTCTAAGACCTGGAATAAGGCGAAGATGCCTTCTCTTCCCACTTCTATTCAACATAGTACTGGAAGTCCTAGCCGGAACAATTAGGCAAGAGAAAAGGAATAAAAGGTATCCAATTGCAAAGAAAAAAGTAAAATTACATCTCTTCACAGGTGACATTACATGCAGAAAACCCTGAAGATCCCCCATACACAAAAATCCTGCTAGAAGTAATTAACGAATTTAGCAGTTATAGGATACAAAATAAATCTGCAAAATCAGTTGTATTTCTATACACTAACAATGAATAATCCAAGAAGGAAATTAAGAAAACACATTTATAATAACATCAAAATGAATAAAATGCTTAGGAATACATTTAACCAAGGAAATAAAAGACTTGTATACTGAAAATTACAAAACATTGCTGAAAGAAAGACACAAGTAAGTGGAAAAACATCCCATGTTCATGGATTGGAAGACCTAATATTGTTAAATGTCCATACTACCCCAAGCAATTTACAGATTCAGTGCAATCCCTATGAAAATCCCAGAAGCATTAAAAAAATAAAAAAATAAAAAAGTCATCCAAAAATTCTCAGGGAATCTCAAAGGACCCCCAAGTAGCTGAAACAATCTTGAGAGAGAAAAAGAAAGCTAGAGGCCACACGTTTCCTGGTTTCAAAACATACCTCAAAGCTACCGTAAACAAAACAGTAAGATATTAGCATAAAGCTGACATATAGACTAATGGGACAGTCAGATGATCTTTTACAAGCGTGCAAAGCCTGCAAAATGGAAAAAGAATAGTGTCTTCAACAAACAGTGCTGGGAAAACTGGATATCCATGTGCAAAAAAAATGAAGTTGGACCCTTGCCTTACATCATATTTAAAAGTTAATCATTTTGAGTTAATTTTTTTTATGGCTTCAGGTCTTATGTTTAGGTTTTTGCCTAACATAAAACTGAAACT